AATAACTCAATAACCACTTGCAACTTTGAGCTGCTTTTTTCAGTGGTAGTGAGCATAGTTTAGATAAATAACATATAAAAATTTCGCTAAGATTCATTCACTAACAAAAAAGTTATAGGTTTTTTACATGTCGGATATGAACGGCACAATGGCAGCGCAAATCGCTCATATAAGTGTACCAAAACCTTTCTTTTTTATTGTTCATTTAAGCAACTTATAACAAAACAAAAACACTGCTCTTTCATTATTTGGAAAACACGATGCAGTTCTGACGCTGTTACGATATTCTATAGCGTATTTTCTATGTAGAATGCCTTGGATTTGATCGAGACGGCTATAATTCTGTTTAGTGCTTCTATTGCCCATGCAAGCTATTCGTGTCGAAACTTGATCAAAATTGTTTTCTCCTAAGCTGCTAAAATAGATTTTTCCGAAATTGATTCAGATAATTTCGTGATAAGTAATTTACCCTCGAGCCAACCTAATACAAGTTTTTATATCCCTTGAACCAGTCATAGGGTTGAGTGACCCTCGATAGAGTATGCTGTTTCGAATGAGACATAAATAAAAATATCACAAAATATATCTCCAGACAGTGTAGTCGATGCTGTGGCGGCGCCTCTCTTAAATTCTAGACGAGAAAGGATCTGTTTCGACCTAAAAATGATGTTCAGCTGATGCAGTTGATTCGGAGTTTTGCGGACGTTTCGACGAAGTTATGATTGAAGGTCTTTCCATAGTGACATGTTCCTGGCCTGACGATGTCTTTGGATGTGGTCGTGTCAGATAATTTTTTATAGTAAACCGTCTCGTCCACGCGAATAATAATAATGATAGAACACTAATGACTACAAAGGTAAGAAATAAACCACCCATTGCTTGAAGAGGCACACCAACAGATACAACAGATGATGAAGCTGCACAAGTACTTGTTTCAAACCATGTTTTATACAGATTATCAAGAGCACCGGACTCTCTTAATGATAAGATGTTCACATCTAGAGTTTGTCCATACAGCCATTGTTTAGGGATAGCAATACCATATGCACTCTCACCAAAATCTGCACCAACAAGAGTTAAATTACAATATATATCGTTAGTTGCATATTCTAGAAGACCACTATCCATTATACCTGCATCAATTACTTTGCTTAGTAGTTTCTCATATAACTCTTTTTGTGATTGTATTGGATAAAAATTTCGACTACCTCCGGAGATTTCCTGTAAATAATAATCTTCGATAGATGAATCCACGAGGATACCAATACGACCAAATGGTATCTTTCCATTTTTGATATCATCAATGCCAGAAATTACATACTTCGATTTTGATATTGTTAGATCAGATGCTAAGTTTGCAGTATACGTCGCTACTAATATCAAACATAAGATATATAAACCAATAGTTAGCAAACGACCAGCAGCTGTCGTGGCTCGAAAATCCGCACCATATCCCAGAATAGTACCAACAGAAAACCATGCACTCATTACGCCTGCAGAAATGTTGGATTTTTCTCGCAATGCTTCGTTTTTATGTCGCTCTAATAGCCAGAACAAAATAGCGGCATAAATACTAACACCTAAAAGCGTCAACCAGACTTTAAGTGAGAACGGTTTCAAGTACGACAAGAGATCTACATTAACAGCAGGTGCCTGCCGAATAATAATGCGTAAAGAATTATCAAATATTGAGGTCGAAAAATCGACTATTTTCCTTCGTTCTGCTGTAACAGTGATATCACCTATCGCCATGTCGTAAACGCCATTTGCTACTGCCAGGATCAACCCAGCATAGGTCTGATTTGATGGTGCTAAGGTAATATTAGGGATAAACCCCATGCTATTCTTCAAAAGATCAATAAGATCAGGCACATAACCAATTAACTTTGTCGTGTTATGTCCAAATGCATCCGTCACATTTTTGAGCATTGTGAATGGAAGTGCTTCAATAACAACAATTCGTAAGTTTACATCTGAAAGTGCTGCACGACCAGTAGGAGTTACTAATGAATTACCAGGCCACACGATTACATCGACTTGTGAATAGGCTTTCCAGTCACCAGGATCAGACCATTTCAATACTGACACGTAATTCATGCCATTTCCAGAAGGCTGAACGTTTTGCGCAACATAATAAGTACCATTTATCCGATCTGTTACATTGGCACTGAACTGTACACGGCCAGATACACCAAGGAATACAGTGCTAATGATTGCATTGAAAAAAGAGTTGGCGTTGAGAAAATGGCTATCAAAACAGAATGAACTGTTGACAACTGCTATACATGAAGGAGAACTATTAGTACTTGTTGAACACAGTTGCTGCAATGATTGAATCAGCGACCAGGTTGCATCAAATGCAAACAGTGCATAATTCTCTACTTCCGTCGCTCCGGGAAACGACTCAGGCTCATAATGCTGCCAAATATTATATGCTGCATTCAACAATGTTGTATTTATTGGTGCACTGACAACACTCCCTACTACCGGTTCTACACCAAACATTCCAATTAACGGTTTATCCGATGTTCGATTAAAAGAGCTCAACGGTACACTTGATCTCAATATCCATACGAATTGTGGACCAAGTACATCATGATCAAGTGCATTTTGTAAAATTAGAGATGTATAAGATGGCTCTGCCCATAATAGTACAATTCGTGTTGTACTACTGGATAAAGTGCTTTTTAAGTCATCTCGAATACGGAGTGTCAGAATATCAAATATTAGTGTTTCCTCGACTGCCAATCCATTACTACTAAATGCCTGACTTATTGCGTTCATGCCACCTGATCCAAATTCATCATTCTGATATACAATTATGCATGATGTCCAATTAAACCGAATGAATAGTTTTGCAATTGACAAGGCAGCTGTAGTATCGGAAGGAATTGTGCGATAAAAGGCAGGAAATGCATTTCGATCAGATAAACCAGGATCGGTTGCAGCATATGATATTACAGGAATACCAATTGTATTAGCAAAAGCTGCACCAATGCGAGCTTCTCTTGAGAATACCGGATCCACAATGCCAACGATCTTTGAAGTAGACATTATTCGGCACGAATTGCCGAGAGCAGCTATTGCATCGCCACCGGTTTCTGCTGCTTGCCATCCAATGAATTGTCCTTGAACTGTGATATTATATTGCTGAGAAAGCAGTACTGCTGCTTTAAACATAGCGCGAGAATGAACAGGTAACGTGGTAACTTCCGCCGCATTCGGTATATCCTGAAAAAGGCCTAGTAGTTGTACGTTTGAAAAGTTTGATGACGGCCAAGTTGCTCTTGCGTACTGCACATTAAATAGTCTGATCATAAAGTGTACCAATAACCATCGGAAGCTGCACAAGTACAACATCGGTGTTTGATTGTAATGCAGATACGATAGTTGAACCAAGCATGGAAAAACAACAATTCACTCTAGAATTCAAACACTGTAGTAAACTAATAAATATTTACTAAACTAAATAATTTATCGATCGTTGGCTCGTCATTAGAGATTACAGAAGATATATTTCATAGCAGAAGTGTATTCAGTTTGTTGTTATTTCGATTTGTCTATGTTATATTTCTTCAGACAGTCAGGTACAATGCTTTACGATACCTGACTATCTGTGATGCTTATTTCAGTTTACCAATAAATATAGATTAAACTAATGAGAATAGAAAATGCTTGTGAAGTTCGCAAAGCATATCAGAATATGATAATTTTTTCTAGCTTAGCATAATCCTGCATGGCACTTCTCCGGTATTTGGGGGCAACTTTTGATAATTCTTTACGTCTATTCTCAAAAAGAATCGACAAATATCAGAAGGATGCTGAGCTGGAATCGGTTCCATACAGTGTAAACGATTTTGCTAAGCCTGATTTTAAGGTCATACTTTTGGTGTCTGCGTTTCAGAAAAGCCTGTCAGAGTTTGATAGGTAAACTGTTTATCCTTTTTAGAAATATAAATATATAATCTTCAGTTACCACTGAGAACGAATGTTTTAGATTCTTGTGCTGTAATTGACCAAATGCAATAATAAGATCTAAAATAATCAACAACGAATGCGTAAAATTTGAAAAGAGAGATAGACAGTCGGTAATTTAACATAAAAAATCTGGTGCTTGAGAGGTGGAACGAGTGATTCATTGGTACTTCCCACATGAAATGTCTGCACAAGATCTTTGGCTTAGCAAATAGAGGTTGGACTTCTGTGAAGTGAGGCGATTATTAATATCAAAGAGCTCATCAAAGATCAACGATATACCACGTCCCATTTACAAAGTATCAACAAATAAATTTGTCTGATTCAAGAGTGACAAATTTTGATGTGGATCTTTTACTCGTCCTACAAAGAAAAAAACTGAATTTTCTGATAAATTGCTTTTAAGAAAACAGATGAGTGAATCACTCAAAAGATAATCTAGGATCTTAATATGATTTCAATGCCGTAACGAGAGAAACGGCGAGAAATCACTCCTTGATTTACCTCTAGGTCTTAGTATCTAGTGTAACCCGAAAACTTTATGATGCTAAGACAATTATAAAGCTGAATTTGGCAAATCCGATACAAAGTACACCATTGAGTATTCTAGTGTTGTTCATTTCGGCTATTTCAATTCGATATGAACGAAAATATATGGCTCGTCAAACTGCAAAAATGGCATCGGTCTTGTCAACTGTTAACACCGCGCATCTGATATCAAATACAATGCTGAACTAGCTTGGAGTAATGAATACATCTCCGGAGCAATTGGCTCCTGCTCAAAATGCAATTCAGGTATCAATTCAGAGGGGAATTCTAGCTCTGATTCAAAATGGAAATCCTACTCTTTAAAAAGCTCGCTCTCCTCTGTGTCGTCAGCCATCTTAACAGCAACAACAGGTTTAGGATTCCAGCTCCACCGATCATTTGTCTTGATTACTGACTTCTATGCTTATCTTTATCTTTATTATTCTTTTAACTCTTTTTTCTCTCTTTTCATACACGTCTTTTACATATCCTTTACATTTTTCTTTGTCATTTTCTTTTATCGTTAGAGTTTTTAATGTGGAAACACGCAATTTATTTCACAATCAATAAAGATTAAACTAACGAGGGAACGTTCCCAAGTGTTCAATCGCTTTTTAATCGAAATCTAGTGGATTATAGGTTATCGATCATGCTGATTCCGAATATGAATATGGGAGTTCCCCTTAGCCCTTCGAAGATCCGG